CCTCTTTAGTCCTTATGCATTAATGGTGTGGCTGTAATAAATAATTCTAACTTTAGGGAGCTCACATTTGTGACAATGTGCTCTGATGACATTGCCTACCAATTTCTGCATTTCTATCTTGAAGTTTTGCAAATGCACCTTATCATTAACTCCAGGTACTTTAATGCCATCTAAACAGGAAGCCATGGTGCACTTAATCCATGGATGTCTCTCAAAACACTAATATAGATGCCATTTATACATGCCTGTATAAATGCCTGTATATAGCCATTTGTCTGTATGTTTATGGTGAAATGAACTTTAGAATCTTCTTTCACTTTCATCTATAAATAAACATCTGTTGCATTTATTTTGCTAAAATGTTGTTCTCCATCGAGGCTAGCAAAAATGTTCTCAATTTTAGGCATAAAATATTGCTTAACATCTAATAATGCGTAATAATGCATAGATAGTAATTCTAAAATCCCCACTGTTCCTGAATGTTCCATGCTTTTTAGCTTTATCCACTCTAAATGCTATCTTAAACATTACATTTACCTTTGATAAAAAATATTTTTTGAATATTTTCTTTCAGAATTCCACAGACTAATTGATTTCTCAAGGCATCATTCACTCCTTCACCAAATATGCCATGTTTACACATCTTTTAAAGTTCAGTCCCATATGCTGGAATTGACTTTCTTTCCTTTTGCTTGCACTTATGAAACCTAAAACCTTCCATACTTCCACCTCTCACAATACTAGACAACACAGTATCAATAGTAGAGACCTTCAAATTTCTAGGTTCTACCATATCGCGAGATCTAAAATGGACAGCTAACATCAAAAAAGTCATTAAAAAAGCACAACAAAGAATGTTCTTTCTGTGCCAACTCAGAAAACTCAAACTGCCCAAGGAGCTACTGATACAGTTCTACAGAGGAATTATTGAATCTGTCATCTGCACCTCTATAACTGTCTGGTTTGGTTCTGCAACTCAACAAGATAGACACAGACTTCAGAGGATAATTAGAACTGCAGAAAAAACAATTGCTACCAATCTGCCTTCCATTGAGGACCTGTATACTTCATGAGTCAAAAAGAGGACTATGAAAATATTTACAGACCTCTCACATCCTGGACATGAACTGTTTCAACTCCTCCCCTCAAAACAACGCTATAGAGCACTGCACACCAGAACAACTAGACACAAGAACAGTTTTTTCCCGAATGTCATCACTCTGCTAAACAAATAATTCCCTCAACACTGTCAAACTATTTACTAAGTCTGCACTACTATTAATCTTCTGATCATTCCCACCACTCAGCTCCTCCCACTTATGATTGTATGACTGTAACTTTGTTGCTTATATCCTTACGATTTATATTAATATTGTTTCCTGATTGCTTATTTGTACCCTTTGACTATCATTAAGTGTTGTACCTTATGATTCTTGATGAACATATCTTTTCTTTTATGTACACTGAGAACATATGCACCAAGACAAATTCCTTGTGTGTCCAATCACACTTGGCCAATAAAAAATTCTATTCTATTCTATTCTAAAATGAAATCCTGAAAGCAGGCATGGTTTGTATGCCAAATATTATTTTTACCAGTTCTGCAAAGCTGAATTGTGAGGCAGTTTCTCAGTAAACTATATGCTTTGTGTTTCATAACACTCAATCAAACAGGCACTTTTCCAGCAACTATCGCATTTGCCTCAAAAAAATTGTACAAATATTTCAGTATAAAATGTCCAGTTATCTGTGGCATTATCAATCTACTCTTTCCTCCAACAATAGTCATCTTAACTGTTCTTCTTTTGTTTGTTTATCACCATTTCTTCTTCTCTGGAGATAAAATGACTCTTCAAAGCTTTTTTCCTGTTTTTTAAATAATCCCAACTTCCATTACTATTATTATATCTTTTTGTGTTAATTAAATAAAAGACAAAAGAATCAGAGGTAGGCTTTTTTGTTGTTTTGCTCCACTGAAGCTTCTAGAGCAAATTCCAGTAAGCGTGCAAGAATGATAAAATACCTAGCAATCCAAGGTGATTAAGCAACAACACAAAATTGCAAGTATGCTTAATCACTTACTAATGACAAAACCCCAATACATTTCATCTTCCCCTAAAGCTGACAGCAAACACCAGCAGCTTTGAAGTGGTGGTGGGGACAATATTTTTCTCTGCATATATTGATAGTTCAATAGTCAGGTAATCTGTAGGGAGCAGGATGAGGCTATCTCTTAACGGCCACTTAGGGCTGGTGCTCCTCATCTCACAACTGGGTCTTCCTTCCTTCCTTCCTTCCTTCCTTCCTTCCTTCCTTCCTTCCTTCCTTCCTTCCTTCCTTCCTTCCTTCCTTCTTTCCTCCCTCCCTCCCTCCCTCCCTCCCTCCCTTACTGAAACTGTGCCTGATAGAGAAAACATGCTTGTTGTGTTACTGGTTGTTCCCTGAAGCCAATGAAGAGTTCTTCCCAATGACACTGGATATAGTTGATTATAGGGCAAAGGAGTCGTGGCCCACCAGCTGCCAGCGGAGCTGGTGGCAGACTCGGACGATGAGGAGGTTGGGGAGGAACTTGGGCTAGTTCTGGAATCTGGGGAAGGCTCTGATGGATGTTCTGTGTCGGATGCAGAGATAGAGCCAGGGCCATGTGATATTTCCCAGCCACTGGAGAAACAGCTGCCTTCGGAGGCTGATATGAGTGAGGAGGAAGAACAGCTGGGGCCTGTTCCAGATGCATGTATGCGCAGAGCAGTTGTGAAAGGTGAACAATGGAGGACAAGGAGTCAACTCAGGAAGCAAAGCACACATGGACACTGAATGACCCCTCCCTGGCTGGGGAATAAATCGTAGAAGACAACAGTTCATATTTCTGGAAATTTTGCTCATTGTGTTTTGTGCCACAAAGACTTAATTAATTTGCATTAATTAAATTAAATTAAATTAATGCAATTAATTAATTTAATTAAACTTAATTTGCAGCCTTTTGGCTGGGAGCTCATGGCCCCATGGCCTTGCAATTATCACAAGGAACTGATAAGGTCTGTTACTGCAGTTAACTCCTTGAAGAACTATTGCATGGACTTTTCGGGTGAATGTAATTAATTCACAAGAGGTAAATAAAGAGAGGTTTTTCGTGACAAGAGACTGTTTCTTGCTTCTGCTAAGGCTGGGTCAGAACAAATAATAATAATAATAATAATAACTACTACTACTACTACTACTACTACTACTACTACTACTACTACTTTATTATTTATTATTATTAATATAAATAATAACTTTATAGAACAAAGGGTGGGCCCCAGTAGCAGGGAGAACTGGGTGAAACTACCACTTTACCTGGGTAAATCTATCACTTTATCATTTATCCCCTCACAAATCAGATGGAGAACAGGCCTGTAGGCCTATGTGGTGAAGGCAATTGGCAATTCTGAAGAAGAAGCCTTCCTATCCCATTGATCAATTGTTCTCAGGATAAGTTTAGCTCTCTTTCAAAACAGTACTAAAACCTCATGTCAAAATAAACCTGACAAACAGCTGACTGTTGGGCTGAAGGAGTTGTGCAATAAACCCAGGAATCATCTCCCACCATTACCCCATGGTGGGCTTGGAGAAGTATTTTGATAGATGGTTTACCCTACCATCTGTCAAACCTATCTGCCGATCACACAAGAGTTATAATTGGCAGGTGGTTTCTTCCTGATTAGTGACATTAGTGACATCAAAGCTGGAGGGTTTAATCAGTGTCTTTGCTTAACACACTCTGCACATTTTTTTCACATGATATTGAATCCTGTTTCCATAGCCTCTATTTGGATTCCTGCTGGGTAGTAATCAGCAATGGGGACAGCAAATGCTATGCCAGTTTATTTTTCTGGCGTCTCAAGGATGAGGAGAAAACTTTTAACTGAGCCAAAAGGAAATTTCTTAAAAATGGTTTGGACCAGTCTATATTTATGGCCTCTTTCCAGTAAACAAACAAATTCAGTACGGATATTCTCTGAGGGGAAAATGTCCCCCTGTGTACTCACAGTGATTTGATGGCTCCCTTTCTCAATGTTTTATCTTTGTGTTATGATCACCTGGACATGCAGTGTTGCAAATGGGAGGAGGAAGGAGCATAGGTATTTTGCTACCTTATGGTATTTAACACCAAATAATAAAGATGGGATAATAAAAAAAAAAGGGCACCAACTGGCCAAGTTAAAAAAAAACTAGCCAGTTTCATTTGCTTTCATTTGTTTTCAATGCATTTTATGCAAAAAGCAAAACAGAATTATTATCCATCTACTACTTATCTACTATTTATCCACATCCACATCTGTTTATCTTAAAAAGCTGTATACCTTAGATGAATAAGAACCTAATTCCTGGTATTCTCCTTGGGGACTCCATTTTTGGTGTCAAGAGGTGACAATTTTCTAAGTCTTCAGTTGAGAGCTATTAAGGCATTGTTTCATTCCAGCACCACCTTTTCCTAAGGATAAAACTACACATTATATTAAATGCATGGCTGCATTTAATGTTGTCTTTGTTTTTAATTGCTGCTGTAGGGTGGGAAGAAATAAAAGGTTGGGGCACTGGTGTAGTGGAAGGGGTATTTAACCCTTCTCTTCATGGGAAAGTGCTCACAAAGTGGATTTTTTCTCCAATTATTTTGCCTTCTTCTTAAGACAAGAGGTTAAAATACTTTGTTTTAAAATAATGATGACTGTCTGCGTTTTCACAAGAAAATGGTGTTATCTGGCTTAGTGGCAGCATATCCAAAATTAGTACATACAAAAATAGGAGAACACAACAGATTTACAGGTCATGTTTTAAAGTATCAATGGAAGTTTATTTTAATTTCTAACAAAAGAAGAACTAGTAGTTAACTGAACGGAATAATGGAAATTCCTATTCCCAGGCCAGATGCCTCAATTGGCAGAAGGTTTTATATGTTATGCGTACATGTGTCAGGGTTCCAACTAACACCCTCAACGAAAGAAGATTCCGAGGCTTGAAGTTCTAGAATTCCCAGACAGTAGGATATAAGTTCATAATTCAGGTAAAGTGTAGGAACTTGAAAAACATTGCTATGGGTCACTAGTGGAGGCCTGTTACCTATCAGCCTTTCCAGGTAGACAAGTCAGAAAACATCACCAGTTTATTGTAAGATTATATTAACAGAATATTAATATAATATATATAGACTTCAGATGGAAGTCTGAAATCTTCCATTGTCTCCTGAGAAGTAGGGATGGTCAATTCAGAGCTTCTTTCTCTGGTCATTATGCTATGTCCTCCTTTATCTAACCATTCCCTAGGCAGCATCTCTTCTCTCCAACTCTCAAGGTCATTCCCACATATCATTATATTGGTCATTCTCACATACCATCATCTTTAGAGATATCTGTTTACTGGATTGTTTCCCCTACTCTCAGACTTCCCCACATTTCTGCAAGCCTCACCGTTGCATTTGAACCCAATATGGACTTAGTTCTCTCAAGAGCTCAATCGTAATGACCTGACACTACCTTTGGCCCCAGAAATTCAGAAGTCAAGTTATGAGACACTTGGCTGAAGTTTCAGGTTTTCTCATTTGATCATGCTTCTTTTCACCCTGCCAGTTTCTGGAAGGTTCTCTTCACACCCCGTTCATCATTAGGAATCTGGCTAGCTTCCTAAGGACTTGCATTGTGTTTATAATGGTCCAGTGTGGCACCTATGTATGTATTTTGTATGGGAAAAAATGGCAAGCAAATTCTTTTCCTCCTTGTGAGGGAATGAAGTATATTTCTTTTCTCTTTCTAATGAGGTTTTGCTTGGGCGCAGTTGTGGAGGGATCAATGACTGAATGGCAAAAACAGTAATTGATTGGTAAGCTTGAAGAGCAATAATTGATGGGATGGCTTGCTCAGCAAACTTCCCAGCATCACTCACTCATTGACCAAGACAGTATCACAACAGCAAGATTTAGGTAACAGTAGGTGCTGGTCTTCTGGAAGAGCTCATAGAAAGTAGAATAATAAATGTTATAGAACAAGATTATATATAATTGGCTACTGCTGTGCAGTAAGAGTACTTGGAAAAGAGCACAAAACCATGGCTCAGTGGAAGAATCTCCTTTCTGATTATGAGAATAAATAGCAATTATATAAAAGAAGACACTTTTACCAAGTGAGTGAAATGGTGAGGACTCTCTGTTAAAGGTAACAAGTCTCTTCTCTAGGTAACATATAATTGCTACCACCCTGTTAAGGATTCAACAACAATTAGAACTAAAAAAAAGTTGTATTGATGGGAAAGCAGGAACCATACATTTATAAACCGTAAACCATGTTAAAATATTGACAATTTTGTATAGTCTTTTTTGCTTCAGTAGGCAATTTACACTGGCATCAGGCTTACACTGAATTACATTTGATGTTTTCATGTTTTTTGTTTTGTTTACTGCTTTAAACTCTTATTGTCCCCCTATGTTAAGCAAAATGACTTTGGGTGGTCTGAAAATTATGCTATCAAAGAGTTCATCCCTAATTTTAAGGATTTTTTTGAAGAGGTTAAGATGCACAAGTCAGAAGACAGAGCCCTGCGGGGTTTCTCTTATTTATTCACTTCTTTTGTTGTGTTGGAGCTAGTAGATTTTAAGGTCCAAAAAGAGGACACAAATATATTGCTAGAGGGCAAGCTATCATAAAGGTGCTGCCACAAATATGGCATATTTTTCAAGTCCTGCTAGGTGGAGTTCTTTTATAGAAGGGTACCAAAGCATGCCACCCTCTTGGATCTTGTGTGACAGGCAAAAACAATTGGAGATATTGCATGACCCTTTGTCATGCAATATATTGTTATCTTACTGTGTTATGTAAACCAATTTATTTAGGAATAACATGTTGTCAACATGCAGTAGTTACTATTTGTAAACCATCGGGATTCAGTATGCTGTGTGAACCCATCTAGTGTGACTTATTTGGTTTTGGCTTTGCACATTTGTACATAGCCACTTCTAATTTAGCAAACTATTGTTCAACCCTGATTTAGCATGATATGCAAACCAGGTCAATGAGTGGATTTGGATTCAGGAACAACAATGGAGCAAGAATTTTTTCCCCTTGTACTCTGTAGAAGGCCATTCATATTGCTAGATAAGAAGCTTAGCTTGCAGCAAAAGTAGCTCTTCTTAAATGATCTTCTTCCAGCAGAAATATAGGACATCCTGCTATACAATACACTCTTGGTTTGATTCTGTTTAATCGTTCTGAGCCAACCTGTAATTCAGGAGCAAAATTTGATTCTAACTTTTTATTTCTATGGGGGCAACAGAAGAACAATCTGAGTATTGGAAGAGTAGATTCTGGGAGCAGAAATAGAGCTGCAGTGGTGCAGTGGTTAGAATGCAGTACTGCAGGCTACTTCTGCTGCCTGCAATTTGGCAGTTCGAATCTCACTAGGCTCAGGGTTAACTCAGCCTTCCATGCTTCCGGGGTTGGTAAAACGATGACCCAGATTGTTGTGGACAATATGCTGACTCTGTAAACTGCTTAGAGAGGGCTGTAAAAGCACTGTGAATCTGTATATACGTCTAAGGGCTATTGCTATCATTTACACGTAAGGCTATTTCTTCCTCCAGTTTTTAGGATGAGAGATCCTGCTCAGTGATTTGGGAGAATTAGGTCCTGTAAAAAAAATAGAAAGTACAAATTTTCCCCCATAGCTAAGGTGACCAGATGTCCCGCTTTTGGCGGGACAGTCCCGACTTTGAACAATTTGTCCCGCGTCCTGCGGTGTTTTAAAAAAGACCCAATTTTTGGACTGCAGACCTACCCTGTCCTGTAGGGACAGGGGAAGACTCAAATCAGAAGTGGGGTGAGAGGATATTGAATGGAGAGCCCCCTTCTTTCCTTACTTTCCTCCCTCTGCAGGAAACCTGAAGCCACCCTCTCCCTGGCTCAAAGTGAGCAAAGTAAATGAAAAGTTTCACCCTTAGCAACCCTGCGCAAGGATATTCTCTTCCACACCCATGGTGATGTGACTTGCAAAGGACAAGGAAGGGGAGGAGAGGGGAGGGCGGGCTGGAACTACTTCCCCAACGTCGGTTTCTATTTAACTTGCGATGTGCCATGGCGTGCGCTTCGCTCTTGTTGCAAATGTTTGTAAGTCAATCGCTCTATCGCTAACAGCAATTTTTTTTGTACTATGTTATTGAATTAACCCCTTCATACTGTAATTCTAGTAATTTTTTTGCATTAATTAGTATAAATATAAAACCAATCATTTAATATAGATTAGATCCCATTACTACGGTACCAATAACTTAGTAAAATAGTTGGACCACCTGTAAGGTCTCAACCCTTTACCTAAGTTAATTCATCAGAAGTAACCATAGCTGCTGATTCTGTATTAGAGTCTCAAATGAAAACCAAGACTTTACCATTCACCTTTAATGAAGACACATTAGCATCACAAAAATTCTTTAATTTTCCATTTTTCTCTAATGAAACAAATAGACAGTTTGTATGTTAAAATTTAGGAAATGTGAGAACAGTAGAGTTTATTCCTGATGGGATAGAATCGTTCAAAAACAACCCAGCATTAGACACACAAATACTATAAATGGGTTTATGGTAACTTCCCACTGCCTTGCATATAAAATGCAATCTTCTGAAGGCTGATCTTAATACACAAATGCATTTGAATGAAAACTTTGCAGAAGCCTGCCTCATTAATAAACTGCAGTCTTAAATACAAAACATTCTTTCAGCTACTCGTTATCCATTCATATTTAGATCCTTAAATGATGTCTCAGAAATATAAGCAACAATGCTAAAAGATGGCATGCTATTGCCCTAAATATATGCACGATAGATTACAATGATGTACATACTAGAATTTATTCAAGTTCCTTGAAGAGGTTATTCCTAAATGTTTAAAGTTTATTCAAGTTCCTTGAAGAGGTAAATTCCTAAATTTACTCATGCTACTGTAACTTCCAAAAATATTTCTCTAATATATTAGTATTAAGATTATTTTAAATGGTAAAATAAGACTATGCAAGCAGAAGCAAGTGACTTAATTCAGTCATAAAAAAGGGTCCTTGGTGCTGTGTGAGCTTGGTTGTTTTCTTGCAGATGATACATTACCCAATGAAATATGGGTCATATGATGTTACCTAGTTGAGGTAATGAACAGTTTACAAAAAACAAACAAACAAAAAAAACCAAATTCATAGAGCACCAAGGACCCCTCATTTCAAACCCGAGCTACAAATATTCTTTATCAGTCATAATGATCAGTGTTCTTCTCATGTACTTCTTTAGGTACCACTGCCTATTTCTGTTACAGTTACCTGTCTAAAGGAAAATTACCTACATGTATGGTTTTGAAACAATCTTATGCTTTTTAATAAAAGGTAAAAGTCAGAGTTTTTGTTACTATAAACTATATATAACTCTTCTCCTACAATGTAGCCAATATTGTGTAGAATTTCAAGCTTTTCCAAAACCTTCCTCAGTTTCTGATATCTGCATATGACAAACACCTATAAGCAAACCCTACTTTTACCCTATTTCTGAGAAAGTTCTGCACAAAAGGACACCTGTTTGAACAATATATATGCAGATATATAAAGGTAATCCTGGACTTGCAACCATAATTGAGGCCAAAATTTCCATTGCTAAGCAATCAAGTGAGTTTTGCCCCATTTTACGATCTTTCTTGCCATAATTGTTAAAGAGTCAGTGCAGCTGTTAAGTTAGTAACACAGTTGTTGAGTGAATCTAGCTTCCCCATTGACTTTGTCAGGTCACAAAAGGTGATCACATAACCCCAGGACATGTCCAACGTCTGAATTTTGACAACATGATCATGGGGAAGCTGCAACCCTCATGAATGTGAAAAATGGTTTTCACTATGTTGGAAAAAATAAAAAATATTTTGCAAAAAAAAAAAAAAAAAAAACCCCCCCCCCCCCGGTTAATGGTGTCCTTCTTTACCAATGTTAAAATCTGGTCACCTTACCCATAGCCTTTGTCTTATTTCTAGGACGGAGTCTTTTCTTCAAAAACTTTTCAAAAAGGCTGTTTTTTTTCAGCTTCAATGGAAAGTACCCCTAGGATTGAGCTTGCTGCGGCCTTCTCCCCACCTTGGAGGCCTTAAACACTGATCCAGGTTGGCTGCAGATTCCGGGGTCAGCAACTAGGGAAAGAGAAAACAAGAGAAGCCAAGTATGCCTGAGAAGCCTCTGGCTTTGTGTGTAAGATATGACTATAATAATCTATGACTAGAAGATGAACTGGAGATGTAAGAAACTGCCTGAGCGGAGGCGTATTTCATGTATTATTTTTTGCAAACTAAAAAAGAAAACCCTGATCTCAGAAGAAAGCTAAGCACTGATCTGCCAATATGTTATACTTAGTTTAACAAGGTGATGTGTAAATATACCATTGAATCCAAGCAAGTCTGCTAGTATGAACATTTCCAGGAGATTTTTTTTATTATTATGACTGCTTCATTATTGTTGAAGCTATACTTTCATGATACAGCAGCACAATGCATTGTAAAAAAAGGTCACAAATAAAAAGGTTGCAATTGTAGAAGTGAGAAATAAATATAATGTGCGCAGAAGTCTTTCTGAAATCACTGTTTCAAGGAAAGAAACTACTCCGGGTAGATACACTGCATCTGTGAATATTTGTATATTTAGTCTTTAAAAAGTTTCACTTAATCACAATCAGAGTTCAGAGTTTTGGCTACATGACATACATAGGCATCTCTCTGCGTGTGGGGACAATGGTGAAACAAGTGTCACCATGCCCATTTCATCTTTCTGGCAAATGAATCAGATGTTGCAGATGTTTCTTGATAAACAGGAATCAATTCCGAGAACTGGATCATAGCATGTAAACATGAAGTCTAATGGTTCCAGAGTAAATAGGCAATAGGATAACAAGACAGGTAAGGAACAGGTCATTGACATGTGGGAGAAGAAGCTAGGAACAGACTAGGGGATGAATGAGTGAAACAGAGTGTCAAGAACGTGGAAGTGTGGAAGAGTTATGGATTTTAAACATGGTTGTGTAAACAGGCCTGGGAATCACAAGCGAATAATGATCTGAGGAGGTGGCACCATTGTTCATAATCTGAGGCTAAAGATGAAGGTTCCCCTCGTACATATGTGCTAGTTGTTCCCGACTGTAGGGGGCGGTGCTCATCTCCGTTTCAAAGCTGAAGAGCCAGCGCTGTCTGAAGACGTCTCCGTGGTCATGTGGCCAGTATGACTAAATGCCAAAGGCACATGGAACGCTGTTACTTTCCCACCAAAGGTGGTCCCTATTTTTCTATTTGCATTTTTTACGTGCTTTCGAACTGCTAGGTTGGCAGAAGCTGGGACAAGTAACAGGAGCTCACCCCATTATGCAGCACTAGGGATTCGAACTGCTGAACTGCTGACCTTTCGATCAACAAGCTCAGCATCTTAGCCATTGAGCCACTGTGTCCCTTCATAGTGACTTACAAGAGGGAAAGATTATTTGATCTTTCTCACTTCATTTGGATTACAATTAGAAATGACACAAACTGTAGATTTACGCATCTGGAGACTGCTAGGTTGGCAAAAAAAAAATTGGCGCCTGTTGTAGTGCGGGAATAACGAGAGGCACAAGCAGGCTAGTAACAACAGCTCTTTAATTCAGGGTGAGACTTCAGCAAAAAACTCACAGGCAACAGCCCTCTTTATATACTTTCCTGAGGCAACCAAGAACCAATCAGAATTCACTGTGCATTTGAATTTCCCGCACAAAATAGATACATACACAATACCCCTCCCCTCCCAGAAGGCACTTATTCTATCTATTTACATATTTACATACAAAATCACGCAGGTGACCAGGGCGGGTCTTAATCCTGGTTGACCTGCGCAGTTCAGTTGTTGGCGAGGCATCGAGCTGGTTGGAGGGACCTCCCGCCTCTCCCGGCTCCGCCAATAGAACCTCCTGGATTTCTCCGGAGGTGTGGCTATCTCCGGCTGGGAGTGTCGGCTCGCTGGGGCGGCGCTGGAACTCAGGGTTGCCAGATAAGTATTCCGGCTTACTCGGGCTTGAGGTAGCTGTGTCAGGAAGACTTGGATAGTTAGGACATGAGTTTTCGTTTGGTAAACATTTACGCAATTGATCTATATGTCTCCTCCAGATTTTACCATGCCCTATATCAACTGTGTATGACTTTGGTCCGGTAATTCCTACGATGGTTCCCTCTACCCATAAAGGCCCATTGGTGTAGCTTCTAGCAAAAACTGGTGATCCTACTTCGAAATGTCTTAGTCCTCCCCCTTCCCCGGTGAAGCTATCGGAGGAGTAATTAGGATGCAGTCTGTCTAGAACGCATCGTAGCTTTCGGCCCATTAAAAGCTCGGCTGGGCTGCGGCCCGAAGTGGGGCACGGGGTGGCATGCTGTACCGCTAAGAACTCATCTATTCTAACCTGCCAGTTCCCTGCATCGAGTCGGGAGAGGGCTTCTTTGGCCATTCTTACAAATCTTTCAGAAAGGCCATTAGAAGCCGGATGAAAAGGAGCGGATAAGGCATGTCTTATGCCTAATTTGGCTAGGTAGCCTTCGAATTGAGTCTCCGTGAATTGGGGCCCATTGTCGGATACCAGGGTGTCCGGCAACCCGTGTGTTGCGAATAGTTTTCTGAGTACTTTGATTACAGCCTCAGAAGTGGTAGATGGCATTAAGGCAATTTCGAGCCACTTAGAATATGCATCTACAATAATAAGAAAGTTCTGGGCATGGAACGGCCCAGCGAAATCGATGTGAATCCTCCCCCACGGCCCTTTTGGTTTTTCCCATTCCCGAATGGGTGCTATGGGAGGATCTGGGCGGGACTCCTGGCAGGGTCTATACTTCCCCACCCACTCAGTGACATCTTGGTCGAGATGTGGCCACCAAACATAGCTACGAGCTAGGCCTTTCATGCGAACAACACCAGGGTGTCCCTCATGCAGCATTTCTAGAACTCTGTGCCTTAACCGCGAAGGAATGACCACCCTGTCTCCCCACAACAAGCAACCCCCCAACATTGACAGTTCATTTTTTTTGTTAAAGTACAATTGGAAGTCACCACCGTCCACCTTGGTAGGCCAACCCCTTGTTACCCAGCCCATTACTGTGCGCAAAACAGAGTCTCTGGCAAAAACCACCTCTTTCGAAGAAATGGGGCCCGGGGAAACAATGTCAAGCAGTAAAACCGGGGCTTCCGGGGTCGGGTTGTCCAATAATTCAGGCAATGGACATCGGCTGAGGGCATCAGATGTCCTAAGGTTTTGCCCGGCCGGTGGAACAGTCTGTACGAATATGCGGCCAAGAAAATGGACCATCTGGTCATCCGGGGGGAGAGAGCCGCCGGGGTCGGTTTATCTCCAGCCAAAAGTCCCAAAAGAGGCTGGTGGTCTGTAATAAGTTCAAAGGTGCAGCCAAACAAATACTCGTGAAATTTTTTGACCACCGCTACAGCCGCTAGTGCCTCCCTATCTAGCTGGCTATAGTTCCTTTCAGCACTAGACAGAATGCGAGAGTAATAGGTGATGGGCGCCTCTAACCCATTCGGCAGTCTATGGCTTAAAACCACACCTACGCCAAAGGGGGAAGCGTCACAGACCAATACTAGAGGTAGTTCAGAATTGTACTGGATGAGGAAACTGTCCTCAGACAAAAGTCTCTTAACTGCGTTGAATACGGTCGCTTCTCGCTTGCCCCAAACCCACGGAATGTTTTTTCCCAGGAGCCTGCGCAGAGGCTCCGCAACGGTGGCTTTGTGTTTCAAAAACATCGTATAGAAATTGAGAAGGCCCAGGAAAGCCTGCAGCTCGGATTTCGACTTGGGGATGGGCACGCTTTGGATAGCCCTAACTTTGCTTTCTGTGGGGTGAATGCCTATGCCGTCGATTCTGTAGCTTAAGAATTCCACTGATGGAACCGCTATCTTGCATTTATTTTGTTTGAGTTTAAGTCCCGCTTCTCTGAATCTGGTTAAGACTTGTCTAACCCTTTGGCCTAACTGAACTTTGTCTTGGCCACTAATTAAAATGTCGTCAAAATACGGGACGACACCTGGGAGGCCTTGTAGAAGGCGTTCCATTGTGCTTTGAAAAAGTCCTGGGGCAATGCTGACCCCAAACTGAAGCCTGGTGCATTTAAAGGCACCTCTGTGAGTTACTATTGTCTGTGATTCTGCCGTAGCGTCATCTACTGGCAGTTGCTGGTACGCCTGTGCAAGGTCTAGTTTTGCAAATAGCTTGCCAAGCCCCAGGGAGTGTAGTAGATGGTGGACTATTGGAACCGGATAGGCGCTCTGCTGCAGCGCCTTGTTAATCGACCACTTATAGTCAGCGCAAATTCTAATTGAGCCATCCGATTTGACTGGCGTGACTATTGGGGTTTCCCACTTAGCGTGATCCACGGGAACTAGCACCCCTTGATTAATGAGCTTGTCGAGCTCTGCATCAATTTTGGGCTTTAAAGCAAAGGGAACTCGCCTTGCTTTCAGTCTAATTGGTGCTACGTTGGGGTCTAAATTAAAAGATATAGGGGACCCCACGTACTTGCCTAGAGTCTCTTCGAAAACGTCCCGAAACTCGTGGAGCAGGGTTTCTTTAAGTGATGAACCGCTGATGCTGTGAACGCTCGTGAAGCCCATGCCGAGGGCCCGGAACCATTTCATGCCCAGTAGACTTGGTAGGGGCTTGCTAACGACGGTCAGGGGCAGCTCTTTCTGGAACTCGCCATAGGTGACCCGGAACGTGCCCACGCCTTCAACAGGAACTCGGTTTCCCTGGTAGTCGAGTAGGCTATTCAACAACAGGTACTAGTTGTGCATCATGATACTAGAAAAGCCCCCAAGAGTAAATGCATTGAATTCAGGGGTGAAATTCAGCAGGTTCTGACAGGTTCTGGAGAACCGGTAGCGGAAATTTTGAGCAGTTCGGAGAACTGGTAGTGGAAATTTTGAGTAATTTGGAGAACTGGCAAATACCACCTCTGGCTGGCCCCAGAGTGGGGTGGGAATGGAGATTTTGCAATATCCTTCCTCCAAGAATGAGGAGGGAATGGGAATTTTGCAGTACCCTTCCGCTGGAGTGGGGTGGGAATGGAGATTTTGCAGTATCCTTCCCCTGGCATGCCCACCAAGCCACGCCCAGACAACCGGTAGTAAAAAAATTTGGATTTCACCCCTGATTGAATTCCACATGAGCCTGAATCCAACAGAAGCCAGCATGAAAGATTCCTTAGGTACATTGTTTTAGTTTATGAAATATCTGAATAGGTAGGTTTCTTCTTTTATCTGGCAATATGCAGAAAAACATAATATTGTATATTGCATGTACTTATTCTCTCTCAACTGAAAACTGCTAAAAGAAAAAAACACCACAGGACTGGGGATCTTATGAAACTCCAGCTGTTGCTGATTTATAGCTTCAAGTATTTCTCACTAATGGACATGCTGGCAGAAGCTGCTGAGAATTAATTCTTCTGCCACATCTGGAAGGCCACAGTTTGCCATCTCTGACATAGTATCATCACAGCATGCAGAATATGGAATGAAAATCTCACTCTGACCTGCTCTGAGGTTGCTCCATCATGAGTACAAGTCACCAACAGTTTCTGGAAGACAGAAATGGATGTTTTTTTCTTCTGTTCTCTTCCATCTCTAGTTCTTCTAGCCCACAAAAAGTGACTTCCTGCTTTGAAAATAATCTTTCAGGTTTTGTGGTGACTCAAGCATCATGAACCAGTTTACCTGCTGCGCTTTACTTTCTTCTATGCAAACCTGGCAGAAACTATTGTTGTTGTTGTTATTATTATTATTGGTTAATCTTTAGTGAGATTCATAGCCTTTGAGGCTGGTTAATAGCTCAGCAGCTCGAGTCCTAACCAAGGACCTAGGAACTGTTAAGGTATCATTGGAGGATGTAAGCTGTTCCGAGTAAGGTGGTTTTTTGTAGTTAAAATATTCAAGTCCGTGAACTATATTATTATTATTATTATTATTATTATTATTATTATTATTATTATTATTCTGTTGAACCATCTACTTCCCTTCTCTTTCTCTTTGTTTTTGATCAAGTCCATTCACTGAAAAATCATATTAATGCTCCTGTAGGTATTTCTGACAGAAGAACTCACCTTCGTTTGTTAAATGTTTTAAAAAGGAACCAAATATAGCCATGTAGCTCTCTCTTTTTGCAAATAGCCTCACCTAACCTATAGATCTCATTGAGCAGGGTTAAGGGTGCTCTCATATAATGGGGAAGCATTAGTGTTATTGGTGTTAAACAATTAGCTGATCATTTAATTGCATGAACTCCTCCATAAAGAAAATAAAAGGAGGAGGTCATAATGCTTCATTTGTGTGAAGAGTGAGTAGACTACACTGAATGTGGGAATAATCTGCCATCTAGACTGGTAATAAGGCCTGTAGCTGAAATAGCTCATGGCATTTACCAGAGGCTATAAAATAAAATGAAATAGTTCAATCAAACTAGCTGGGGAGTAGGCATAAGCTAAGTAGAGCACTGATGACTCCTATCTCATTTTGCCCATTGTTTCGTATCAGACTTGTAACTAGACTCATACTTCGAACTCAGCTAGAGGTGATTCTTTTGAAATATCTGCACTACTTTGAGAAAGTGTTCTAGATTCATAGCAACAAGTATTCTATTGCCATCAAAAAAAGAAAGGAATCTTGAAATCAATAAAGCGAATACTCAATGTAGCACAGATCCATTTAAGCTAAAAAAAAATATTCATTCATTCGTTCGTTCATTTTTGTATTTATTTATTTATATCCCATCTTTATTATTTTCTTTCATTGTGAATTATCTTTCTAAGTCTTTTATTCTTTATTATTGATGAATATTACTAAACGGAAATCCAAAGCCCCAAGTCATATCATAGGATGATTTCACTCACACTTGCTTTCTCACTTTTTTTGCTTCAAGACATGAAGAAAAATGGACTGTAATGATCAACAAACACTTGAGTTACTTTCATATGTGCGACTTAAGTTTTCTTGATAAAAATTGTTCTGCCAATTATGAATGAGATCGCAATTCGCTTTGTATCAGCGCTGCAGATTTTGCATTTTTCCTGCATGTTCATCAATGCGATGGCTCATCTACACTATTGGCTTTGCAGTGGTAAAAGAAGCAATCTACAGAAGTGGACATTAGAAGAAACTTCTGAACAATTCTCAAAATCAATTATCAAAAAAGCTGAATTGTTTATGCATTTCTGTCATAACTGTGGACAAAATGTGGAAAGAGCAGAGCAAAACAAAGGGAACCACAAAACTCTCAATTGTTAGTTGTTTTATGTTTGTTTTGGATCAAAAGCATAAATATTAGTGTTTTAGAATCATAGCGGAGTAACATCTGTTCACTAATAATTTGAAATGTTTTTTAAGACCACAGTAAAAATAGAGTGTTAAAATAATAGGGCCATTAAATGATTCATGCTCAAGGTTGACTCAGCCTTCCATCCAGTGGTGGGATTCAACTACTTTAACAACCGGTTCTCTGCCCAAATGATTTCTTCCAACAATCAGTTCACCAAACTGTTCAGAAAGTTAACAACCGGTTCTCCTGAAGTGGTTTGAACTGGCTGAATCCCATCCTTCCAAGGTGGGTAAAATGAGGACCCAGATTGTTGGGGGCAATATGCTGACTCTATAAACCACTTAGAGACGGCTGTAAAGCACTGTGAAGTGGTATATAAGTCTAAGTGCTATTGCTATTACTATTCTGCCAAAAGGAACTGCCCTTTGATAGATCCATTCCAAAATACCACAAATAATGGTATCACCACCCTAAACAAATAACAGAATAGCATTCCCTGTCTTTTTCCATCAAGACAATTGAAACAGATTTGATACTTATATAAAATCAGACTGGAAGAAGTCCAGAAAAATCTTTTTCTTCTTAATACACCTGAAGTTGATCAGTTACCACCTTTCAATCATTTGTCCAGGAAGTAAACAATAGCATCTGGGACAAACTTCCAGATCCACAGAAAAGCCATCAGTGGAGATACTTTTCTCTGGCTCTAATAATTTTTTATATATATTTGCATTAACCTTATGAAATCCTAATTTTCTTCTTTCTCCCCAAGTGATCCCATGGGAAGGAGCAAATATCATCTTCCAGTTCTTATTGAGACTTCTTGGAACCCCATATCCATAGTTAAATAATTTGTGATGTCATAGGAAACAAGTTTCCATTCTAATGTCTCCTCTCTTCTTACAAAACTTCTAGAAGTTCAGGGTCGCAAATTAGTGTTCAGAAATTCAACTGAGCCAGCAATTAATTTCTTGCATAGGAAGCACATACTTCAGCTTTGAAGTAATTCACCCAAGGGGATGAAGAAGATTAGCTGATGGAGGCAGACAAGGTGTCACCAAAAAAACTGACCATGAAAATGAATGTTTCCTGAAGGCTGCACAGTCTTCTTTGTAGGAATGTTGGATGAATCCTTCTGTTTTGCTTCCCCTGCCAAATTCATTAATAAATACATTTCACAATGTTTTAAAATATTGCTTCTATGACTGTGTTTTAATATGCTTTATTTTAAAACTGCCCTGCCATGTGAGTGTACAGGAAGGAGTGTAGAATTTAAAAATCTTCACATAAAAATAAATAGAAAACAATGATTTGTGAAGTAGCACTGCTCCCTCTTAAACAAATATTTGAAATGATAAATACAAATACAAATTCTTTATCCCAAGATTTAAAAACAACAATAAAGTGCAATGATTTTGGCTTGTGATTTAGATGGACAAAGTTGTATTAGAATATTTAGCAAATGGGAAAGAAAATATAGTTGTAAGAATGCTCTATATGCATGCATATTTTATTCTTATTAATCTATTATTTACAATTGTGAGATACAAGGAGAAATTCAGTAAGCATTACACATATAGGTAAAATAATAAGAAAAAATTAGCATAAGGTAAAAAAGAACAGAAAAAGCAAAACCAGTTGAAGGGTTTTAAAAACTCTATATGTTTTCAAATGCCCCCTTTTAACCAGTAAGTTATTTTTCCTATTTAAGCATGCCTAAAACATTTGATGCTTTTAGGCATGCTTAAATATTGCTGATTTCTGTGGAATATCTAAATAAAAGTGCTTAGTGTGGCATTAAAACAATTATAAAAACTTTTTGACAAGTACAAGAATGAATGGGTGATGGATAAATGTAGACTTGAGTTCAAAAGTGAGTGATCACCAAAGAAAAGGTATGTTAAAAGCATTTGGTTATTTAAAGAGAATGAAGATCAAATGGCAAAACAAATATATGAAGAAAGAATGAATTGACTGAGAGGAAGTAGAACATTGAGAGTTATGGCTGCTCTGTCACGGGAAGTTTATAAGAAGAGACTGGACAGCCATTTGTCTAAAATGGTATAGGGTCTGCTGCTTGAGAGAGGGTTGGACTAGAAGACCTCCAAGGTCCCGTCCGACTCTGTTATTAGAACAGAAAGGATGGCATGAGAACTCTTCTACATATCAAAAGAAAGAACAACTATCCAATGTTGCTAATGTTGCTGTGGTAGACTTTGTCCAGTTTGCTTTGAGAGTAGATCAGACCAAGAATCAACAGGAAGGCTAAAACTTCCTTTGTTGAGATTGACTATAATAACAGAACCTTGCATGCCTGGTTGTGCAGTACCTCCTTTCCCCTTCAATCTCAAAAGGGACCCATTTCTGAAAGTTATCTTGTTGCTCTGGACTTAATAAAATATTTCAGCCCCTTTTGCCTGGGTAATAGTTCTTGCATACAGCAAGGTTATTTCCTTGCCTTCCATATATAAGAGTAATGCCCATATTTAAAGGATATTATGAGAGTACATCTAGAATTAAGTACTGTAGCTTTATTGTTATTGGGTATCCAACATATTTCTTCTCCTTTTTAATTGCACACAACTGCCTATTTTTTTCTTTGCAGTTTTTAAGATATCTGCAACTTTTTATAGCAGCATAGGTCATTTTTTTTGGAAAGGGTTCCAGGCATTAACATACTGATATTTAATTATTCTGTGTATGAAATTTTGCATGGCTGTCTCAATCAATGCTTATGGTGAATTCTCTAGTTCGGTGAGAGGTCAAGGGGTTAGCACAGGAATTTTGAGAATGTCTGTGGAGATCCTTCTTCAGCTTTGCTGGCCTCTTCCTAACAACACACACACACACACAAATATAAGACTAAATTTCAGCACCACTGCAAGTTCCATTTCTACAGTAGGACAAGTTCCATATCTGTGGCTTGGGATGTCAGCTGAAAAATCATAAACCAAACTCAAATGATTTCACAGAAGGCAAAGAATATGGTACCCCTTGAAATACACTGTCCTCTTATTGATTATAAATAGTTCAAATATAAGTCTCAGTTGTATTCCCCCAGAGAAAGGAAACTGTGTGTGTAAATACTCATCTAAACAGTACCACAAACCACTCAATAACATAATCAACTTTTCTCATTTAATTTCAAGCCTATGTTCCAAATTGCAGTGAGTAGCTTAAAGTGTTGAAAAAACAAAGCGATCATAGTGTTCTCCCAACAGTGAAAAGGAAAAGAGATACCAGCTAGTGCCCAAATTATAAACAAAGTATTAGAGTGCGCTGAGGCGGATAGAATGACGTATATGTTGAAAGAAAAAGAGGATTCTGATTTTTTTCAAAGTTGGGACAGTTGGTATCGGTGGTTGAATAAAAGAATTGAGATGAAGTGAGGGCCTATGTTAATATGAAGAGAGATATACTTATTTAGATTGAAAGATAATTGTATGAAAATCACATTTGGGGATTACTTATCTTATTCTGAGTTGTGGGCATAATTATTTACTAATGAGAGCAGGAACAATATCTGCCGGGATAGATGTGTTTTTTTATGTTTAATGTTATGAATGGGGGAGGGAGGGAGGGGAATGTATGGTTTTTGTTTGTTTGTTTGTATGTATAAACAATGTTTTTGTCTTGTGTTGATTATAATTTGAAAAAATTAATAAAATTTATTTAAAAAAGAAAAAACAAGGCAATCATATTATGCCACCCTTAAATGTTCTCATCTTTTTTTCTTCACTAACATCTAAAAAAACCCCAAGATAATGAAAGCTAGCTTGTAACTGATTTGCACTATCTATCTTGCACAATGCTTTAAGTAATGATTTCAGTACATTGTGGTTCTCTCCACTCTATTAAGCTTTTGGCATCAAATTAGGCAACAGCAGTGGAAGGGACAAACTAGATGTTATGCAAAAATACACCATTGGAAATAGCCCGATTTCCTTTTAAATTGTTTAAGGAGGTTTGCTTTTCTGCCATAGTTACTAGTGCAAGTACGTCTCTTTTCTCTCTCTCTCTCTCTCTCTCTCCCTGGATATAAGTGTACAATATACTACACACACACACACACACACACACACACATGAATATCTCTTATTGGCCAAGTGAGATTGGACATTCAAGGAATTTGTCTCCAGTGCTAAGCGCTCAATATACATACAAGCAACAAAGTGATAAGTCATGAACCATAAGTTACAATTATAAATCACAAGATTCAAGCAGTAAAGTGATAGTCATAACATATCCATAGGAGTAGTTAGTAGGAAAGATGAGAAGGTTAATAGTAATATAGTCCTGCTACATGGTTAGATATCCTTAGGCATAGACGGTGCTGTAGGAATCCATATCCATATCCATATCCATATCCATATCCATATCCATATCCATATCCATATCCACATCCACATCCACATCCAAATCCACATCTACATCCACTGTATATACTGTATAGTGCAGGGGTGGGCACCTATGGGAACTTTCCTGAGCAACTTTCCATGCTGGCTCAGGAATTCTGGAACTCCATAGGTCAGTAATGGCTAACCTTTTGGTTCCAAGTGTCCAAAGCAAATGCACGCCAGTGTGCCCGTGTGCCCGAACTCCCAAAATACAATGCGAGCAGCCCACACGCATGCGCCCCACCCATGCAGCCCACCCCCATGCATGCACATATGCATCCCCTACATGTGCCCCGCCCCCATGTGGCAAAGACTCAAAGACCAGCTGGCCAGCAGAAGGCACACATGCACGTACAATGGAAATGGGCTGGGGCAACGGCTGGCGTGCCCGCAGAGAGGGCTCTGTGTGCCACATGTGGCACACATGCCATAGGTTCACCATCATGGCCATAGGTCATATAGTTGCCATAGTTGCCCTCCCATGGTATAAAATGGAATCAGGAAACTGACAACTATGACTCAGTGTGCCACAATCTTGATGATAATTGTTTACTCCAAGCTGGCAAATATTGAACCAAACCTGTTGTGACTCTGACCCCCGAGCCCGTCTTATCAGAGGGAGAAGACTCCGAAAGTGAAGGAGAGGAGTTGGCAAGGCCTCCCTCTCCAGGACCCTCCTCTCTGGCAATGCCTCAGGTGTCCTCCGAAGGCCAAGAGATGGACCAGGAGTCAGACACTTCTGAGCAGCCGCAGTTAGACAGCGACGGAGATGAGTCTTGGCTGGATCCCTGACAGCGTCGGAAAGACAAGCGCGCGCAGCAGAGAAGGAGGTGTGCCAGAGATTAAGCCTACAGGGGATAAAAGTGGGTGTGGTGGCCATTCAGGCTTTGTGACGGACAAAACTGAAAAGCTAACAAGTCATACTGTGTTTCTGGAACTTCGTTATTTGCCCTCCTTGGATTTATTATGGACTGGACTTGACAATTCTTTGGCTTTGTGGACTTATTTTGGTTTATCGGACGGAGGAGAAAAACCTCCCTTTGTGAGTAAAGTTTTTGACAGGCAGATACTGGGTTGCTGCCAATTCTGTTATCTCAAAGGAATTCCTGACTGCTGGTTTTATTAACTCCTGGCTGACTGTTTGCGTGCGTGTGTGAGACGGGGACAGAACACAAACCATAGTGTTATACTCAATGTCTAGAGATACCAGAAATAAACCCTTGTGAAAGAAAAAGTAATTAGATTGGGTCTATGAGAAAAATGGTCACCCTTCCCACTCTTGCACCATACTTTACAAAACCTGGTGATTAAAAAAGGAACCTATGATCAAATTCTTACCTGTTCAGTAGAGGCTTCACTTTGGAGTCCCTAGAAGTCAAGCCTCTCTTTCTTGACATAAAGGCTTGTAGGATGAGAAGGTGAGGAGACAAAGTTTTTGGCTGTATTTATCCTGCTGTGGGGAACATTTGGAAAGAACTGAAAAAGTTCAGGTACCATTTGTAAGTAATGGAGTTTTTTTAAAGGGGGAAAAAATCACATTATAACATAATATAATAAAAGGTCATAGAGGGAATATTTCATTAGGGGCCAAAACTACCATTTTACGCTCTGTACAAACTGGTAACAGATCTCCTATCCCCCCCAGGCAACAGTTCCACCTTGAATATCCAGTTCAAGAGTCGTAAAAATACAATTACAAAATACAAAATACATATAATAAAAAAGTACAAGACAGCACCAAAGACTTCACGAATACCATTCTGTTTTCTATATTTCTAAAATTACACCATGGGGGCCAGTTCTAATGGCCAATATAAACTTTATATAAATTGATAATTCATTTTAAGAAGTTATATTTCTGCTTCTTTTCATTGACAAATCAAAAGGTCCCTTCCTTTATACTTAGTATTTTATGATGAAATTGATATTTAGTTGCCTACATTTTCTAGGTAAATCCTATTAGCAACTATTCCTAGAATTAACATCCACAATCATTATGGTACTTTGTCCTTCATTCCTATCTAGGCCTAAAGAACTCTGAGATTGATAGTCATTAAAATAACACAACAAAACATACATCTTCTGCTTCTCAAATTGCAAGTCTGGTTTAAATGTAAAGGACATTCTCTCCACTTAAAGACAATGTTAACACCCAGCCTGGCTAGGTGGCTCAGTGGCTAACACGCTGAGCTTATCGATCAGAAAGGGTGGCAGATCGGCGGTTCAGATCCCTAGTATAGGTCTCCTGCGTGAGCAGGTGGTTGGACTAGATGACCTCCAAGGTCCCTTCCTACTCTGTTATTGTTATTATTATTTAACTCTCTGGGGTCCTTGGTGCTCTCAAAACTTGATTGTTTTCTGGGAGACATTTCATTACCTAACAAGGTAACATCATCAGCTAACCCTCTCTTGATGACATCCAGCAGTTCTCATAAAATTGAAAAAAAATGAGTACAGATAGTCCTCAACTTACAACACTTCATTTAGTGACCGTTCGAAGTTACAATGGCACTGAAAATAATGACTTACGACCATTTTTCACACTTTCACAGCATCTCAATGGTCATGTGATTTACATACAGATGCTTGATAATGCACTCATATTTATGACAGTTGCAGTGCTCCGGGAGTCATTTTGCGACCTTCTGACAAGCAAAGTCAATGGAGAACCCAGATTCATTTAACAACCATGTTGTGAAGCAAATTGCCTTCCGTTTGGAAGATTGAGTGTTCAATCCTAGGTAGTGGCAGATATTTCTCTCCCCAGGTGCGAAGAAAAAATATCTGCTGTGAATTCCACGTGGCGTCAGGAAAGGCATCCGGCCAGTAACTGCATGGCTGCATCCAGCCGCCCCGACTCGATTCTGAATTACTTAAGGGATGAAAGTCGCAAAAAGGGGAGTTACTAATTTAATGACTGCAGGGATTCACTTAACAAATGTGTAAAAAGTTGTAAAATGGGACAAATTCACTCAACAATTTTTTCACTTAACAACATAAATTTTGAGCTCAATTGTGCCTGTAAGTTGAGAACTATCTTATTTATTTAGTCACAGTCTCTCTTCCTCAGAATTGAAAGGATGCTGCCTCCACTGACCCCGTCTTAATTGTACAGCGTAGGACCTTCATGGATCAAAATCAGCAAGAGTTCTCCATGTGTATGTGTGCTCGAGTGTATATGCATGTGTATATGATGGAAGTAATAGAAAAACTGGTTCTGTAATTGTGGAATTCATTTGAAAAAGCACTTCAAGTGATATTTGTATCTATATTTATCTTCTGATCATCCATTTCTTGCTCTCTAAGATATACCTTTGTAACTGTCACTTCTGTTTGATTGCTTTGATGGTACTTTGTAAAGAAAACTCAATTTGTAGGTCATAAGTCCGCAGCTAACGATTCCTTGGATATTTATCAAACTCCCAAATTAAATTACTTTCAAATCTATTTTTCAAATACTTTGGTCTAACTAATTAAATAAGAATGGCTTGGTATGTTGCTGTTATGCAAAAAAGAAAAAAGTCTGTAGGGCACTCTCTCAAATGAGCAAATATATTTGTTTAATTCTATGCTATGTTGTCAATTAACTCTTCCAGAGGGAGAAAAATAATAATTTCACACATGATGCAACTGAGGAAGGCAAAAGAGGACAGCAAATGATTGGAATGAAAACCAATTCTGGGTTGCGGTCAAAAGCCCCAGGCTAGAAAGCAGGAGACGATGAGTTCTTGTCTTGTCTTAGGTAAAAAGCCAGCTGACTTATTTTGAGTCAGTCAGGTCTAGGAAGGAGATGAGGACAACCACATCCAAAAATCTTGCCAAGACCACTGCAGGGACTTGTTCAGATAGTTTCAGTTTCAGTTTTATTAAATTTTTATACCGCCCTTCTCCCGGGGGACTCAGGGCGGTGTACAGCCAAGATAAAACCCACAATATAAAAGTTAAAAACAATTTAAAATTATTAAATAGTTTTGGCCGATCATCTAAAATAAAATAACCCATTAAAAATATTTAGGCCAGCCCTGATTGATGGAATAATAGCGTTTTAAGGGCGTGGCGAAAGGTACGGAGGTCGGAAATCCGATGAATCTCTGGGGGCAGCTCGTTCCAAAGGGTGGGTGCCCCCACAGAGAAGGCTCTCCCTCTGGGGGTCACCAGTCGACACTGTCTAACCAACGGCACCCTGAGAAGACCCTCTCTGTGGGAGTGTATTGGTCGGTGGGAGGCTACCGGAGGCAGAAGGCGGTCTCGTAGATATCCAGGTCCTATGCCATGGAGCGCTTTAAAGATAGTTGCCAGGAGTCGTGACTGACTTCATTGTGGCAACATTACCGTATTTTTCAGAGTATAAGATGCACCTTTCCCCCCCAAAAAAGAAGATGAAAATCTGGGTGCATCTTATACACCAAATGTAGCCCCGCCCACCCACTGGCCCCCACCCTTTGGCCTCTGCCTCCCAGCAATTTAACTCCTTGCAGCAAGCAGCAAGAAGAAACAGCCCATTTCAGCTTCAGCACAGCTTAATTAGCACAAGTTGATTGTCAGTTGGATCGTCCTCCTGACTCTCAGCTGTTTCAGGCTGCAGGGATTGCCATTGCCTATTACTGCGCGGGCTGCAAGGAGATAAATTGCTGGGAGCAGATTTTTTTTTTCTTCTGCTAATCAAGCTATGCTGAAAACGAAAATGAAAGTAAAGCAGGCTATTTGCTCTTTGCTGCAATGAGGCAAAATTGCTGGGAGGCAGAGGCAGAGGCAGATGTCTTTTTCTTGTTTTCCTCACCAAAAAAGGTAGGTGCGTCTTATAGTCCAGAGCATTTTATACTCTGAAAAATATGGTAAATAAATGACTAAGATATTTTTATCCAGATTTCTATTGATCACTTTTTTTAATACTGAGACTTTAAGAGTAAGGCTGGGCATGCATTTATCAAAAAGCCCTTTGTTCCTGCAGATTTAAATTGGAAGGGAATTTTATGTGAGGGAGGCGGGTGATATAAAAATGAGATAATTAATTAAATTACAATTACTTTATTAAATTTGTTTGTTGTCCATCTTCCTGCAAGAGAACTCTATTGCAAACCTGGTTTAAGGTTTAAATCAGGTTTAAGGTTTAAAGTTTATATCAAACTAATAAAGCTATGCAATGATTCACAATGTTTGTTACTGCTTTGTGGAGCTGGAAAGGAGCACCAATATTGTAAAAAGAAGGCAAACACAATGTCCAAGAGACAAAAAAAACGTGTTCAATGTTCCATATCTCCATTCGTCTGTCAGCTATCTTCTTAATGGTTTGAAGAATTGCAGCTAAAGTATAAAGAAGGTTGGCCCTTCTATGACTTATTGTTTCAGTGAGTATCTCTTAGACATCTGTGGTAGTGCTACTTTGGAACAAGAAAAGAGAAATATACAGGAAAAATGACTAGGCACTTACATCCAAGGACTTTATTGACTTACCATTTATATCTCACATGCTCATTAGTATTGAACAAGGACATACATTAAATTTTGCAGCTACTAAAATTGTTGGACAAGCAGGTACAAAAACAGCCAGGGAAGTGATTGGAGCCTGGGAAACGGACCACTTGTCAGTCAAAGGAGTGCTGATTTATCACCAGCTTATAAAGCTTGGCAGCACAAGGAAACAACAGCCAACAACTTATTTGCCACCCATCAACACCTAAAAAGCCACACACAACCAGCCATCATATAAATTCCACACACAGAATAGCTCAAAACACACACTCTGCTAGGGAGAAGTTCCCTGAGGATGGGCTCCAGCATGAGACTGAAAGCTCAGAAGACTAAACCTCTGGTCTCGGTGACCAACCCAGATTGGATCCTGCAACATTATCCTGGGAAACGTGTATTTGCCTTCACTCATTAGCATGAGCTCGGTTCCAAACACTACATGAAAAATCAGCTTGAAACCGCAGGATGCCAAACAGCTATGCGCTCAGCGTAACCAGCTGTCCCCAGTTTAGATGCTGCACCATCTTTTGAAATAGAAGAGAAACCAGAGATAGGGATGCCTTGATTGACATACAGGTAGTCCTCGACTTACAACAGTTCACTTAGTGACCATTCAAAGTTACAACAGCACTGGAAAAAGTGACTTATGACTGTTTTTCACACTTTACAACCATTGTCATGCAATCAAAATTCAGATATTGACAACTGATATGTACTTATGATGCTTGTAGTGTTCCGGGGTCATGAGGTCACCTTTTGCAACCTTCTGATGAACAAAATTAGTCAGGAAGCAAGATTCACTTAACAACTGCGACAAGAAAGGTTGTAAAGGTTGTTTACTTAACAAATGTCTCAGCAACAGAAATTTTGGGCTCAGTTGTGGTCGTAAATCAAGGATTATCTTTAATTCTAATTCATTTAACTACCAATTTTGTAAGGCTTGTTTTTCATCTTTGGCTTTTTAATTAAACATTTTTTTAACAAATGGCCCTC